TTTGCTTTTGTGAGCATTCCCAGATGCACTTGACACCTTGCAGAGACCATTGTCAAAGTTCGGACATTCATGCTTCTATTTACAAGCGTCGTGCGTTCTTTCCGGTTTGTGGAATAATCGAAGCCGTTTCATGAGATGCGTCGTTGTTTCAATGTCCTGATGCTGACGCATCACTGTCCTTCGGGCTTGTTCCATCGGACTCCAAACTCAAGAGAATCGAGAGATGTTCTTCATGCTTGTGTAGCTTGTGTGCAGAATTGTGTTTGCTTGAAGTGGAAAGAGATCAGCAGGTCGTCCTGATAGTTCTGACGTTTTGGTGAATAGCGCAAACCTGCTGCGCAGATACCCTCCCCTGGTACTTTCTGTCTGGACTGCAAACACACGACGCTAGCGTCAGCAAAGTGAGTGTTCCTGGCAACGGGCTTGGGCGGGAGCCATGGGAATGGAACTGCACAGGGTTCTGGGGCGAAGTTCTGCAGCGCAGTGGTGCAATAGCAGTTAGAAGCCATCGAAGCTCGCACGCTTAAAAGTATTGCATCGTGGCCTCCAAGGGCTTGTCGCTGAGGTGGGTCTAGTGGTGGGTCTCTAGTAGGAGCAAAAGCTGTTCTCCCTTTGTCCACACCCAGTCTTGTACTTTTCTCCCTAAGAAGGTGCTGTTTCCATAGAGGGAAGCCCAAATGAGCCAATAGGTTCCATGAACATGTCCAAAACCGAGGTTCTTGTTCAACGTCTGCAACCCACCGTTCAAGTGTCAACTGACCCTGGGATTATTCAAGAAGCTGTAAGAGCTGTGTCTGAAGTAAGGGCTGAAACAGCCTTGGTGGTGTCTCAGGCTGTCGGGACAGTTGCAGGCACTCAGATGGAAGCGGCTCAGGCCGTGTCTGTGTCTGTAGCCGTATGCAGAACGGACTTGTTGCCCAAAGTGAGTGGGAGTTTCGCTATGAATTCCTATCTCATGTGCGTTCAGAATGGAGCACTCACGAAAGAAAACGCGTGATGACACAGGAGTTGCTGACATGTGGCAGTTCTTGTTCAATTTAAGATGCCCATGCCAACGCTCTGGCTGCCTCGACAAGTTTCCATAAACTGTGGCTCAATCGACCGCCGAAACACAAAGCATGGGTTCTATTTCCATTTTTTGCTCCAAAAGTTTTCTAGCCGCATTGTTGACATCCCATCACCTTTGCTGGAATTCTGGATGCATCTATATACTAAGCCGCTGCCAGTTCAATGTTGTGATGCTGACGCATCAGACAGTCGGGCCTCCAACCATATGCAGAGAAGTTGATACGTCCGCGAAAACTAAACACGCAGTCGCGAAAGATTCGCGAAAGATTTCGCACATTTTTCACGCACGACTACTGTGGTTTTGGCGAGTTTGGTGTTGGCCCCACAGCCATGAGGGAATGGTCGAAACCGAGCTGTGAGGCCACCAAGGCCAAGCCAAACCCATTGCTAACACTGCAGACTTTACGGCGCCGCCATGCCACAGGCAAGAGCGTTGACAGCAGATTGCCCTAACAGTTCTTAGGTTTTTGTGTGACTAGCACACGCATGTTGCACAGATAGTCTATAGGTCAAAATGAGATAGGACTTGTTGCCCAAAGTGAGTTGGGAGTTTCGCTATGAATTCCTATCTCATGTGCAATCAGAATGGAGCACGCACGAAAGAAAACGCGTGATGACACAGGAGTTGCTGACATGTGGCAGTTCTTGTTCAATTTAAGATGCCCATGCCAACGCTCTGGCTGCCTCGACAAGTTTCCATAAACTGTGGCTTAATCAACCTGGCAGGCGGCGGCAGTGCCATTTTACCAACCTTTGCACTCATGCGCCGCTGATTGAATGAATGACATTCCATATATAGCGTTGCCCTCATACAAGGCAAGTGCTGGGAAGCAATGCAATAATGAACTGCTTTGCTTGTTCATGGTTGCGCGCAGGTTTGACCCAGGTTCGAGGAAGCTGTTGTGAATGCGCTTGCCTTTTTTGCCTGTCGCCGCCTGTGTTCATGCAGGCTGAGACTAATGCTTTGCCAGGTTTGGTGGTGAGATGCGGCTTGAGGCAAGTGACCAGTAGCCTTTGATAGCCTCAGCTGAGTAAGGAGACTACAGCATGTTCAGACATCGGGATCTTTGGTGTTTCGGACGATGCAACGAAATCGTCGCTTCGATGTCGTCGGGGTCCCGAAGAGTACTAGCCTCCCAGTCACGCTCCATGCAAATGGAAATCCCTTGCGTGTAGGAAGATCATTTGCCCTGCGGACTATGGCGTCCGCTTCCCATGTCGGTGAGTCGAAGATAGTGTGCGGGGTGACGCGACAAACCCCAAGATCAACATTTGTATATACGGTCCATGGAGTCCATGGCTTGGCCAACTAAGTAACTATGAGCAAAAGACTGGAGAC